GGAAAAGATTTTACAATCTTGAGCATGGCTACACAAAACTTTCAAAACATGGAAGGTCAATCCACACATAGACCTCCTCTTTTTAATGGGGTTGATTATAATTATTGGAAAGTAAGAATGAGAATTTATTTACAATCTATCGATTATGCCTTATGGCGAAATGTCGAAAATGGTCCATTTGTTCCCACAAAGAGAAATGAAGATAAATTAGTTCCTAAGGACCCTAGTGAATATGATGAAGATGATGAAAGAAAATTATCCTTAAATGCTAAAACTATGAACATTTTGTATTGTGCTTTAGATAGAAATGAGTTTAATAGGATCACTTCATGTAAGTCTGCACAAGCCATATGGCATACTTTAGAAGTAATACATGAGGGTACAAACCAAGTAAAAGAAACTAAGATAAATCATCTCGTTCGTGCATACGAAATGTTCGAAATGAAAGATGATGAATCAATCACCTCTATGTACACACGATTCACCGATATAGTTAATGGTTTAAATTCTCTTGACAGACCGTTCAAGGAAAGTGAATTGGTGAACAAGATCGTGAGGTCATTGCCTAAGTCATGGAGTGTCAAGAGAACCACATTGGAGGAAATGAAACACCTATCAACTATCTCTCTCGATGACTTGATCGGATCTTTAATGACTCATGAACTTTCGCGAATGAAAGACAAGGAAGAAGATGATAAGAAGAAAAAGGGAATAGCATTGAAAGCTTCAATCCAAGAAGAAGTTAATGAACATGAGGAAGAAGACGAACTTGATCAATTAGACAAGGAAATGATCTCCCTATTCACCAAGAAATACAAGAGATTCTACAATAAGTATAACCAAGGCAAGAGCTCAAGAAGAAATGAAGAAAGGGGAGATAAAATTAAAAGAGATGAAATCATTTGCTATGATTGCAAGAAGCCCGGACACAAAAGGACGGAGTGTCCTCTCAAAAGGAGCAACAAGAAGAGCTCCAAAAGAGATGAACTCAAAAAGGTTCTCCAAGCAACTTGGGATGAATTAGAGCTCGGAGAATCCGATAGTGATGAGCAAGAAGAAATAGCAAATATGTGCTTCATGGCCATTGATGATAATGAGGTAACCTCAAATTCTAAACTTCATATCGAGGAAAATAGTATTATACCTTTTTCAAATGAGGATATAGAACATGCATTTTCCGAATTACATGAAGAATATACTAAACTTGCTCATAGAAATGCATCTCATAGAAAAACTATAGAACTACTTAAGAAAGAAATCACATTGTTGACAAATGAGAAAAGTACGATATTATGTGAAAATGTCTCCTTAAAAGAAAAGGTTGATGATTTGACAAAGATCATTTTGAAGTTCACCAATGGAAAGAAAAACTTTGATCAAATGCTTGGTGGACAAAGATGCGTTTTCAACAAAGGAGGTATTGGTTACAAGACTCATGTAAAACAAAAATATTTTAAAAACTATTTTGTCAAAGCATCAACATCGGATTCAAAATATGTGTGCACTTATTGTAATCAAAATGGCCACACATCTTTCTCATGTGCCATTAAAAAGAACACATATTTTGAAACCAAACAAGTTTCAAGAACTAACCCTCAAGGACCCAAATTTATGTGGGTACCAAAAATCAAAACTTGATTTTGCCTTGTAGGAGCCAAGAGAGGAAAAGGTCAAGTGGTTTTTAGATAGCGGATGCTCAAAACACATGACGGGAGACCTTTCCTTACTTAAAAACTTCACAAGGAAAAACGGAGGACGTGTGACATTTGGCGACAACACAAAAGGAAAAATTCTTGGAGTTGGCGATGTCGGTAATAGTGCCTCTCCCTTAATTGAAAATGTATTTCTTGTTGATAATTTGAAACATAACTTACTTAGTATTAGCCAATTGTGCGATAAGGGATACCGAGTTGTTTTTGAATCATCAAAATGTTTGATTGAAAATGTTTGCAATAATGAAGTGGTGTTTATTGGTGATAGAAGTGAAAATGTTTATACAATAGATATTGAAAAGTTATCATATAAAAATCAATGCCTTTCCGTTTTAAATGATGATTCTTGGCTTTGGCATAGAAGACTTGGTCATGCTAGCATGCACCTACTTTCAAAACTTTCTAGAAAAGAAGTTGTTAGAGGATTACCAAACCTTCCTTTTCAAAAGGATAAAATTTGCGATGCATGTCAATTTGGAAAGCAAGTTCGAACCTCTTTCAAATCTATTTTAGAAATCTCTACAACAAGACCTTTGCAATTGCTTCACATGGATCTATTTGGTCCATCAAGAACAACAAGTCTTGGTGGAAAACATTATGCATTTGTCATTGTTGATGATTTTTCAAGATATACATGGGTAATCTTCTTAGCAACTAAAGATGAGGCATTGAAAACATTTTTATATTTTTGCAAAAGAGTTCAAAATGAGCAAGGTTATCTAATTACTACCATTAAAAGTGATCACGGTGGAGAATTTGATAATGATGCTTTTGAAACACTTTGTAATGAGAATGGGTATAAACATAATTTCTCGACACCAAGAACACCACAACAAAATGGTGTTGTTGAAAGGAAAAATAGAATTCTACAAGAAATGGCTAGGTCTATGTTAAATGAAAATGGATTACCAAAATACTTTTGGGCCGAGGCGGTTAACACTTCTTGTTACATTGTAAATAGAGTTCTTATTAGACCAAAAATGGATAAAACTCCATATGAGCTTTGGAAGGGTAGAAAACCCAACATTGGTTATTTTAGAGTCTTTGGTTGCAAATGTTTTATTTTAAACACCAAAGACAACTTGGGAAAATTTGATGCAAAATCCGATGTTGGAATTTTTCTTGGTTATTCTACTACTAGCAAAGCTTATAGAGTATTTAATAAAAGAACTTTAGTTGTAGAAGAATCCATGCATGTCGTATTTGATGAAACTAACACCTTTGTGGAGAAAAGTCTAGATGATGATGATTTAGGTTTGGAGCATAAAATGAGCAATATGGAGTTGAATGACAAAGAAGCAATGGATCCCAAGGAGAAAGAACCTCAAACCTACAACACACCACAACGTCAAGAGGATCAAGTTAATGATTCAAAACAAGATAGTACATCCAATCAACTACCGAAGGAATGGAGGTATAGTACCTCTCATCCTAAAGATAAAATCTTAGGTGACATCTCACAAGGAGTGGTTACTAGATCATCACTTAAAAATGTTTGGAATAATTTAGCTTTTCTTTCACAAATTGAACCAAAAAGTTTTAAAGATGCCGAAAATGATGAATTTTGGATTTTAGCGATGCAAGAAGAGCTAAATCAATTTGAAAGAAGTGATGTATGGGATTTAGTCCCTAGACCTAGTACTCAATCTGTGATTGGCACCAAGTGGGTCTTTAGAAATAAGAGAGATGAGCACGGAGTGATTGTGAGAAACAAGGCTAGACTAGTGGCCCAAGGTTTCAATCAAGAAGAAGGAATAGATTATGAAGAAACCTTTGCACCAGTTGCTAGATTAGAATCCATTAGAATGTTATTAGCCTTTGCATCCCACAAAGAGTTCACTCTTTATCAAATGGATGTTAAAAGTGCTTTTCTTAATGGATACATTGTAGAAGAAGTATATGTAGAACAACCACCCGGTTTTCAAGATCACAAGTGTCCGGATCATGTTTTTAAATTGAAAAAGGCTTTATATGGTTTAAAGCAAGCTCCTAGAGCTTGGTATGACAGACTTAGTAAATTTTTACTCCAAAATGGATTTTCAATTGGAAAAGTTGATACTACACTATTTACACAAACAAAGGGTGAGGATCTAATTATTGTACAAATTTATGTTGATGATATTATTTTTAGTTCTACTAATGTTATCCTTTGTGAAGAGTTTTCAAAGTGCATGCATA